TGGACGTGTTTAGTGTGCACGGCTTTATGCGTTTTGAGAGAAAGATATAATAAAGAATTTTTAATCATATGTTTGGTGCGCCGATCTCTTTAGTGTCGCGACGAATTTGCTTCTCCTAGAGAGCTTACAGCAGCTTTCTTTACAAAATCGCTTACACATATATATATAAATAAGTTAAGAAATTTAACATTTAACTTGTTGTGGATAACGTAAGAACAAAAAAATTCTTAAGCCAGTTATGTTGGGTTTTGAAAGCATCGTAGATCCTTAACCTAAGCCCTGGTATATTGTAATGCTATGAACTTACTTATTTATCATACATTTACCTGTGTTTTATGATTCATTGGTGTTTGCTTTTGTGAAGCTGAATAATTCCACCTTAACCAACTTTCCAAATGTGATTATTTGCTAAGTCAAAAGACACAATTCCCCCGGGCGCCAATTATCTCGATTTTTTAATATACATGCGCAATACAGCGTTGTGTATTGTAGAGTCGATTTTTTTCCAATAATCTGCTTGTGAATTATGTACAACTCCCTTTGAACTACAAAGCTTACTACAATCAGTGTTTGTGTCTTTGTAATTGGCAGGATGACTTCTGCTGTAGTAAACTATTCTTCTTCCAAAATTTTTCATTCTCCGCCAAATTATTTCAGTAGTTTTTAATTTGACAAACAAAAGATTCTGTTAACGCACCGTCCGCTCAACAAGTCAATTCAGTTTGATCTGTTGTCTTAGAAACCCATCAATGTCAGGTTCACGCAAAACAATATAATACTTTTGTGTGAAATTTAATTTCAAAATTGTAGCCGAATGGAACGTTAATAAATAAACTATGGCAAGTAGTTTTTGTTAAGACCAAAATAAATATCGAAAAATCCAGATGAAACAGGGCCACACTCTAATAAATGCTGGTAATTTGCTACAAAAGTCACCTCTATAAACTTTTCACAACTGTAGCGGCGCAATATGCGAACAATGAAAGTAAACAACGAGAACATTATTTTCCAACCCTAAGGAAATGCGATTAGCCAGAACAACTTGAAGCGACAGCGAATTACAAAGAAGTAAACAATCATCAAAATATTAGGTACTAATGTGTAGCGAATATTGTAGATGTTGTTGGTTAGGGATAACGGTAAACATAACAGTTACAAATTGTACTCGACGTTTTAAATTCTATATATTCACAGCTGACAAAACGCGCACAGATGCTACTTACAATTAAAAGAAATGGGAAATTGATTGAACAAACCCTAGTTTAAGGTGTAATTGCAGTGTATACTTAAATCTTTAAATGCTCACAATATCAACACTTAAACGTTAAACCAATATAAAAACTCGTAAAACTTTAAAAAAAGCTTTAAATGATTGCTTCTTTTTTTTGTAACTAATATAAAATTTTTAATGTCGTTAACAATTATCGCAATATAAACATTATGGGATTTTGATGTGTTTTTGCTGAGAAAAAGAGCTCAGTTATTACTTCCAATGGTGAGAATTGTTGTTTTGGCTTTACTTGAGAGAAGAAAAATAAAATCAGAACAAGTAAAACAATTATATTCAATCGTCACAGAATTTTTTATACCCATCGCTGTTATCTTAAAAAAGACGAAAGAAGTAAAAGAAATACTCTATATTCTATAATATGGAGTAGGTGCAGCTGAAAAAACAAATTTTGATACACTATAATAATGGGTACGCGTAGTCAATTTTTTCTATTTTTGTACAGGTACTACCGCATCACTCATAGAATATGTATCAAATTTTTGTACATTTATCTGCTATGGCTATGAGTAATAAGCCAAAAACAAATATTTTATGTCTTTTGAATAACAGAGGCGTTCTCAGTTTACATAGTACTGTCGGCGTGTTCTTCGACCGATTGGGCCCATCTTCAATACAAACTCACATGCACTTCCAGTGTTTCCGCCAAATTTGAAGCCGATAACTTCATGCTTGCGGCCAGAGGAATGTTTACTACAGAAATTCCACAGAGGAACATGCTTAAATCGATTTATAATTTGATGCTGATCAAGAATATATATACACTTTGCGGGATCTCTGACGCTTCCTTCTGGGCGTTGCAAACATTTTGGCAAAATTAACATATCCCTCCTCATCCTTCGGTGTTTCATTTAAAAATAAATATGAAATCCCATATTTTCCATATTTGATGTTTTGAATTTTCATGAAAAGTAGTGGATTTTCTAAAACACTAAATTCCTAAAAATGGTAAAACATTCATCATGCACCTGAAAATTGTCAAAAAGACTAACAACAATTAGCAGAACATTTAGTAGAAAAACGGATTATAGGCAAAATATTTGCGGAGGGCAAATTCGGTCGAGTTATAAGGAAAGAATAGTAATATTTGAACGGACAGGACCAGGGTGAGAATTAAAGCGTTCCTGTAAATAATTTGTGAATAGATCTCCTAAAAATTCAAAATAAAACCTAAACCCTAACCTATAAAATCAGAAATCAGTGGCGAAAAGTTAGTCTCTTAACAATTAATTTAAGAAGTTCTCTACGACGCTACAATTGTACTACAGCTTCAAGAACATATAATGTTTATCCCTTTCTATTTATATTCTTCTTCTTCCCGATTCCGTCCAGAAGTAGGTTCATTAAAATGTTGAACTGTAATGTTAATTTGCACATTGCCGGTCGATTGGAATTGAAAGAGATCATTACGACTTCATTCATAGCAAGACAATGGTTTTATGTTTATATTAATTTGAATTTAATTAATATTCGACGAATATGATAAAATGTGCAAATGCTTGAAATATATAAAATAAGCTGATGGACCTGGGCAACTTGAATACGTACAAAGTATCTGATTACTTTTCCATCTAACATATAATGTATACATGTATATTGATGTCCTCGTGTGAACAACGAATTACTAACCATTCTGACCGTCCTGCGTGAAGACCTTAAAATACTTATAATGTAATGTAGTTATGGGATTCTTCGTATACAGCCATCTAAAGAATGAAACTGTCATATTTAATTTATAACTTTGCTTGACAGGATAAACAAAATCATTATTAAAATTGAATCAAAATTAATTACATAAACATAATGAGAAACATTCGTAAGAGCAATAATAGTAAAACAAAACTGTTACTAATTATCACGAAATGAGTGTGCAGCTTTCGAGAGAGCGCAGCGTGCATATCTATATATATAGCATTAAAAATTTCAACGAAATATAACCATATTAAAAACTAAGAAAACTTAATCTCATGCGCGTTTGGCGTTATCGCCATATAAAAGGTGAGTGATTGTCTTGTAAAGAATGGTAAGTGGGAGAGACTGCTTGAAGATCTCCTCTTATAGAGATTTGAGTTGATAAATCCCGTTTCTAATGTACAACCTCTGTTTGCTATAGTAAATTCGGAAGAGAGACCACCAGTTTGTATAAAATGAAAATCGAGCTTATACGTTCATTTTGATCTTTTATGGCTTTTATTCCAAAAGATTCTTGTATTTATCCTGAAACCTTCTTGCGTTTATGTATTAATTGCATTCTTTTCAGCTATTATTTAATTCGGTTACTAGGAAATACAATTCGATATTTTCGAAGCTTGGCGTATATCGATTCTTTTCATTTTTTAATTTTGTTTATCTTGATTTTTATTTATGACACAGTTCACGTAGATGCACATATATGAGATCATACTACAGCCGGTTTATGGACTCAAAATTCGATTAAATTACAGTTAAAAATAAGGAAAAGTAAACTACTTTCATGCCCAAACAAAAGTACAGGAGGAAAACTGCGAGAAAATAAGCAACGATTAGCATTCTTACAACAACAAGTCCTCTGGCACACTTCAACTCAATACTGCAAATATTTCAACAAAATTGCACCTCATATTCCAATTATCACATCACTTTACTATGTTATTTCGCTTTACTACCGTGGTAGCTTGCCATTACGTAACAATTCGGTAGTTTTAGTCAGTTTTTCTAGTTATTGAATATAAATGGATGTGAAATAATATTCGACTTCAAACCAGACTTTCCGTTAAGAATTTCCTATTTCACGTCAACAACGGTTAATTATTTTTCAAATGTGAAAAATAAAATAAAATGAAATGAAAAATATTATAGTCGGGCAAGGCCCGATGCATGCCTTACTTACATCATTTCGCCTAATACAGTTACTCATTCATTTTCGTCATAATATACCAAAAAAATATAATTATTTTCATGCAAACGCATACTTTTCATGAAAGCTCTCATATTGTGCGGAATCAAAAAGATAGACCTATATGGACCAAATCCGACAAGGTTAATTTTTATGTCATATTATTGTTATAGACCAGCTTTCACCATGGCGTATTGAAAATGAAACCTTTTTACCATAAGAGTGAGATTCAGTTTCAATAGGTTAGCTGTGAAGATGTTCAAAAAATTGCCCGATTATGAAAATTGTCCGATTACGAAAATTGTCCGATTAACTTTTTTCAGAACCATTTAGAACGCCGAAATATCATTACTCAGCGATTGTTGTAGAGGAGTTTTGAAAACTGTAATTTTTTTTTCATATAACAAAAAATAAATAAAAAAAATATGGGGTGTGGTCAAAAAAGTAGCCGATCGAACCCATTGCCAATAAGTTTCATCGTCAAACCAAAAACGTTGGTAGGTGAACTTTCATCAAAATGTCTCAAAAATTGCGTTATACAGATTGAACAAAAGAATAAATGGGCAGGCGGACAGGAAAGCTTAGACTGCTTCAGAAAATGTGGCGGATTAATTATATTATTTAGCGTCCCTTATAAGTCTTAAAAAAATTAGGAAACGCAGTGGAGTTGCCAAGATTACAGTCCACTGCGATAAGTTTTTAAATTACTTACACACTTCTCCTAGTGATTAAAATTAATTTCGAATAACTCATACAATGCAGAACACTTATGAAATTTTCCAGTTTATTTCAGATTTGAAACCAAACCTTCAAATAATATATACAGTAAAATTATAATAGAAACTGTTTAATCCGATAATAGAAGTTAGAAAATGTTTATTAGGCTTACTTGACGCAATATTCCCATTATATTTATGTGCATATGGATTTCCCATTTCTTCCTGTTTTCTCCTTTCTCAAGGAATACGTATTTTACATACTTGAAAACTCTTGCGGTGGTTGCCTCTTGCTTACGATAATGTTGCATGTGTTGACGGAACAACTAAGAGTCTTATAAAATTCAATCACATAAAATACGCGGTTAGGTGTTATGCTATGACAAAAGACACTTGTCTCTAACGTCTAGCATTATGAAATGACAGTCTTAGTCTTTCTTTTGGTTTTCTTGCATTTCTCTGATTCCTTCATTTTTGCCAGTTTTGGCTCATCATGATCATCTTCTTTAGGTGTTAAACGTCTAAAGAGGATTAAATGCGCTCTATTCAAGCAAACTTCTAACGATGGCTCTAGAGCTCCTTCAGCCACCTGGACAAAGTGATGATTTAAATTCCTCCACTTACGTTGGTCATAGGGAACTCTTAATTTATCCAGCAAAAGAGTGCTTAACGATGGCACCAGTGGTTGCAGGGCAATACCGCAAACACGTAAGGTATCCATGGTCATTGCAATAATTGTTTCTAGCTTTAGGCAGTTCTCGTCACATTGCGGCATAGGTAGACTTACCCGCTTGTCAATATCAAGATCTGAGATCTTAAGTTTTAGTTCCCAAGGACGAGAAAACTCAAGGAATCTATTAGCGGCATGTAGCGTTGACATAATAAGATCAGCGCCCATGTAGAAATTGCCATCATTGAAATGTTGAGTGCACTTGGCTTTAATAAGATTGAAAGGAAATCAACCGATCAGGAAGTCGAAAAAAAGAAAAGGCAGAAAAAAAACATAATCAAATGAATAGATACTAGTCAACATTAAAGTGTTGTTACATAGCTCTTACGGGGGGAGGAACAAGTATAGAGTTTAAGTGTGTTAAGTTTTAATATGTGTCCATGTTTATGGTACAGAACAAAATAATAATCTTTTCATAGGCTAAAGCTGAAATCATTTCTCATGTGTAAAAATATATTTTAAGGCATTACTAGTCAGCACACAGTATAAACAAATGATGAGTTAATTTATTGCATATATTATCACGATGTCTTAAATGTATCCTTATTTTTATCCTATGTTTTCATGGATTTAAAAAAATTGTTCAGAAAAAAACAACGTAGATGGAACCTCTCTCTCTCTCCCTCTATTTCTCTCTACTTATGCCTCTCTTTATATCTAATGTAAGATTTCAGCACATCCAGAAGTAGTCAGATTTGCAAAGAATTAAAAAAACATGGCAGTTAAAACAAGTAAGAAAATTAAATTAGGTCGGGATTCAATCTTTTATACCCATTAACGTTATTCTAAGAAAGACGAAAGAAATAAAAGAAATAAAATTTCATATTTTGTAATATGGAGTGGATGCAGCCGATTTTTTCTATATTCAAAATAAAAGTTTTCCTCGTATAGGTGTGTGGGCATTGTAGGCGTGTCTTTTGAAAAGTTTACGTCAATTCTAAATTCTTTTTTAAATTTATAAGCGATATCTTCATTTTTGCTAACGGGAGAATATTTACGACAAATATTACAAATTTCCGCAAACAGACAGATGGTCAAACGAACAGGCGGACATATTTAAGTGCGTTCTAAATTTGTAGCTAGCCAGGAATTTATATACCTTATGGGTTTGTTGTAGCTGGTTTCTGCCCTTTATAAAGGTATTGAAAAAACAATTAAATTTTGATACACTATGTTGGGTACGCGTAGTCAATTTTTCCCACTTTTGTACAGGTACTGCAGCATCACTCATAGAATAGGTATCAAATTTATCCGCTATAGTTGTGACTAATGAACAAAAACTAATTTTTTGTGCCTTCTGAAAAAACGAGTTCTCAGTTTACGTGGTGCTGTGGCCGTGTACTTCCACCGATTTGGCCCACCTTCAGTACAAACCTGCATTCACTTTCAATTTTTTACCAAAATTGAAGTCTGTAGCTTCATTTTTGCAGCCAGGAGAATGTTTACAACAGATATTACGCAGACGGACATGCTTAAATCGTTTTAGAATTTGATGCTGACCAAGCATATATATACACTTTGCGGGATCTTTGATGCTTCCTTATGCAAACGTTTTGGCAAAATGAATATACCCTCACTATTCGATGATGGGTATAAAAACAATAATATTGCATATATATGTATAGCTGTGTATATAGTCTATATGACCGATTTTTTCCATTTTTGGTGTAGTTATTGTAAAACAGTTGTTAGAATTACCGTAATTTTTTAATAATAATAAGCAATATTGCTCTTGTTTGTAATAAGTTGTATAAATTTAAGTCATGAACGGGTAAATTTGGAAAATCATTATTATCACAAAATGATATGAAGAAGCTGAACTTTTGGTCAGCTTTAGAGCAGATCCCTAGAAAACCTGTGACCTATATGTTCATTCGGATCACTTTCATGCTCAATTCAAAAACGAATACAACCGAGACGTCCACAATTAACAATAGAAACAGATTCAATGTATGTTAGAATAACTGGGAAATAAATAAGAAATAAATTGAAAAAAAAATTGAAACCAAAATTTGGTCAAAAGTTACGGATGAATTATGGACGCTCCTGCAAAGCGATCGAGCCCATTTTAAAAACTCAAATTTTTAATCGACTTGAGAATATTTGTGTCCAATTTCAGCTTCCTATCTTTCTCAGAAATGTTGATGGAAATAAATAAAAACTGAAATACTGTGGTTATTGGAAGATGATAAATTCTTTATATATCAGAATTATTATTACAAAAAACAAAACAAGGTAAAATCAATCAATGGCATTGCAATAGTTACGGCATAAAGAAAAAAGTAAACAAACCTACCTTCAAAATGTTGTAAAACGTCGCGTAATTGACGACCATTATTTGTCTTTAAGATTTCACGTAATTGCGCTGTGTGAAAACGTGGATAAACCTGTCGTGGATTTAGAGCTTTGGAACAAACGCGCGATAAAAGATTACCTAAGGTATCAGCAAGTTCAGCGTTTAAAATCCGCATTGCTTTAACGCTGCAATAGTCTGAAAATAGAAGATTGGTTTATAAAAACCATTTCATAACTGTTCCTTTAAACACTTAGCTCAAAATTTAATTAAACATCCGTCTGCTAGACGATACTTGCACAAAATCTCACCTTCTAATCGATGCCAATGAAAGTGAGAAATTGAATTTTTGAAAACAGCACCAAATTAGTTCATATCCGATTATTTATATATTAAATATATAATATATTTAAGGTATGGGTTAAAATGTTGTGGTTTTTTTACTTGTAGTATGTCTGCAATAGAACCTAGAATGTACGTAGAGACTGATCCAGAGACAAGCACAGACAAGGTTAATCGAATACTGACTGACCCTCATTTTTAAAACTTTAAAACAATTTTAACAAAATGGATGCTATATATTAAAAACTTTACTGTCTAAAAAGACTTTACTGCTTTCGTGTGTTGGCCTTAAGATAAAATATTAGAAAATATTATGTTCAATTGCTTTAACTGATCGTTACATTAAATAAATTTAAATGATTAGTACATTAAATGAATAGGGGGAAAAAAAAAACTAAAGGATTTTGTTGTTTGACTGAAAAAACGCTTTCCAACATGAAATCGTAAGAAATCTAAAACATTTAAAATCTCAAAAGTCCAAGCTAAATGTAAACACAATCGGTAAACGTCTTTTGTAATTATCCCTCAGTAAAGCGAGCAACCGTGTGATATTAATTATACAAAAAGAATAAAAAATAAATAGAACATTCATTCAATTGCAACTAACCGGAAATATAGAATATATAAAGTATATATCGCCTAGTTCTCTTTACTCCTTTACCCATTTCGTCATTTTTTCTTTTCTTGACTTTTCAGCAGGTGCTGTCGATCTATCCACCTTTCGGCGGTAGACATGAAAATTATTGAAAACAATAAGCAAAGGTAGACGTTAACAAAATAGTTGTTGTTCTAGGTATCTGCTTTAGAACAAGTAGATATATGCGAATTGTTGCAATATTGTATCCTCCTGGAAAATTATATCGCATTAAAACGATTGCATTTTTAATGCTATAAATTTGCAAATATCTCGGTGCTAAGTTTTTCTGTCATTTGCAAAAAAAAAAAAAAAAACTGTAACAATCAATGCTAAACTTTAAGACATCACTTCAGACCATCATGTCGAGCACAGACGTATTGTACCCGGCGTATTTAATTTTTTCCTGTATATTCACTTATCTCACACTTACTAGCGTCACTATGCGCAGTTCCTTCGCGTAATAAAAAATAACGTAAACCTTCCATAGTATAAGTTTTAGCTGCTATAGTAGGATCTATTACATTATTTTTACTTTTTGACATTTTCTGGCCATCAACGGTCCAATGAGAATGAACGTAAAGCTGCCGAGGTGGCTCCATACCTTCAAGTGAAAAAATGATTTAATAATTTATGTATTAAAATTGTATTTTAGAAATAATAAATATGCATAAATACAATTCTTACCAGCAGCTATTAAAAACGCCGGCCAGTAAACGCCATGAAATTTTAAAATATCTTTACCAATAACTTGTATATTTGGCGGCCAAAACTCAGCGTACTGCAGGTTAATGAAAATTATTTTTAAATAATTACTACTGCGCTTTATTTACCTTCCCGTCTGGATAACCGACTGACGTTAAATAATTCACTAAAGCATCAAACCATACGTAAATTGTTTGGGTTGGATCATTTGGCACAGGCAGAGCCCACGATACTCTGTTAATTGGGCGTGATATCGAAATATCAAGCAAAGGCTCATTCAACATATCGATTAAAATTTTTTCAAATTTGGCCGGACGTATACGATTGCCCTGTTGCAACCAATACAAAATATCCGCTTGAAATTTGCTTAAACGAAACATGTAATTCTCTTCTTCTGTCCACTCTACAGGGTGTCCAGATTCTAGGGAATAACGGAGACCAGACTGCTCGTCTAAGCGCAACTGATTATTTGTAATAAATGTTTCATCAGCCACGCAATACCAGCCATTATATTGATTTAAATAAATAGCATCCCTTTCGAAGAGCTTATTCCAAAAGTGATGTACAGCTTTCTCGTGACGTTGCTCAGTTGTGCGTATAAAATCGCAATGTTGCACGGAAGCTTCGCGAAATAATTCAGCAAACAAGTCGGATACTTTCGTACAGTAATCCATCACGGGTGCTTTGCTTGCAGAAGCCGCCCGATCGATCTTTGTCCCATGCTCGTCAGTTCCCGTAGACAAGCGTGTTATTCCTGAATTTTCAGGAAACAACAGACGTTGATGGCGAGTTATAGCATCTGCTATAACTGCCGTATATAGGTGCCCAATGTGAGGTGCTGAAAATAAACAAAATAAAGTACAAATAATCAAATTTTTTAATAGTTTTGCCACGCTTACCGCCATTCACATAAAAGATTGGTGTAGTTACGTAGAAGTTGCCTGCAAGATTCCGGCTATATGTACGAAAAAGTATCTTTAGCACCTTTACCTTATGACTTAACATGTTTATTTCTCAGCAAAACAAAAAAATTACACTGAAACTACAAAAAAATCGGCCTTTGCGTAACAGCTGATTTCATTGCACGACCAAAGCATGAGTTCACTTGCTGGCAAATTTTACGTTCACATAGTAAACGTTTACTTTCATAGGGGATTGACACAACGGAGCGTTATTCCTATTTTGGGACTAGACATTCGATGGTGTTATGAAATTTAAGCAGATTATGAAGATTAACTAAATTGTTATTTTTTACAAATTTGTTGTCTACGGTTACGTAGATAGCTTTATTTTTAATTCTAACCTTATTTGTTTTTGTTTGTGTATACCTTTAAAACGATATCGCGGACACTCATTGTCATTGTGCTACCACTTAGAAGGTTTTGACACGAAAACGAAATTAATGAGAAGCTCTCGTAATCTATCGTATCTTACTACAGCATCTTGCGAAATGTGATTAACTAATTGTACCTCCTATGTAGCATATTCGTGTATTCTACTATTTTTCTGTGATTAGTGTCTGTATACTCTTCTTGTGGTGGAGAGGTTCATAGAGTGAGCGTTATAAATTAAAAAATAAAACAGCTATTGCAGGCCAAAAATTGCCAAAAAATGGTAAGCTTTTTAGCTGATTAAAAGTTAAATTAAAAGAACACAAAAGTACGAAAAGATAAATTGCTTACGAAAGAAGTTTGTTCCTTTAGATTAATTTCTGTTGAATGATTAGGTGTCACATCCGAAAATGATTTAAAGGCTTCTTAGCAGAGAGAGAAAGAGAGAGAGAGAGAAATCTCTTGAACTCATGTTCATTTTCTCCATGATGAACAGAACCATTCAGCTATTCTTTTAACCTGAAGAGAGTTTCCCATTCCGAACTTTCCGGTTTTCGGTTCGATGTCGCAGGCCTTAAAAGGCTCTCGGCCAAGCCAACAACTTCATAGTTTTGAATTTTTTTTCCATTTCGGATCCTGCTTTTGTCGTATACGTGCTTAGCAAACTCCTACGACGGTCGTTTTTTAAAGCTGGAAAGAGATATTCTTATTGTGTAGCTTACTGTGAGCTTGGTTATGTACACCCTAACGACAGCATGAAGACTGCGCTCATTTAATTACTCTCACGCTGAAATTTGTTTACAATTGAACGAGCCAGAATTAACACTTTTGCATTTGTATTGTGAACAAATTCCCGCTCGTATATGAGTAATTAAATGAGCGAGCCAGTTACGAGCTAAAATTTGCAATCTTAATAAGTCTTGATTTTGCTTCAGTAGTGTAAATTTTGCGTGTAATTTAAGAGATAATTTTTCTGATTTTTATTCTCTCTTTTGCTCGTGCTTCCAGTTAGGTTTTGCTTTCTCTTGTTCTTTTGCCCTCTTGTTACAGTGACAACGTAACGGAGAAGTTTTCTTAAATTTCTTAAATTTGTAGATAAATTTAGTGTTGTGGATTCTTTTGAATTTGTTCTTTTTTGTCCTAATAATTCACTTCTTTCTTTTTGTTGACTTGACGTGGAGTGCTTATATACACCATGTCGCGCAATAACAGGCCCGGAATCGGATAGATTCGTTGCGTCTTTCCGCCAGCTGGATAATAAGTTTTGAAAATATTCAGATATACCTTATTTCAAAAACGCATCTGTTTAGTAAGAAAATATTTATGAGTTGTTTATTTTTGAATAACCTTCAATATACACAAATTCATAATTTTTATTGGGAGACGAAATTTTTCTCTTATTTTTGAATGTGAGTAAATGTTTTTCTCTTTTTTTCACAACTGTTTGTAATTTAGTTTTTTAATTTGCTTCTAACCGGCTGTACACACATAAACTTTAAGCAATAATATTGAAACATTGTTTATGTTTTTATTGGTGATGTTTAGTTTATATACAAATTTAAATAAGCTTTTTTTTCATAACTATTAACGGGGTGATATATTTATTAACTTTGATGATTTGTTTGATTTACTACTCGAAAACTTTTCTATGAATAGCGAAAAATCCTTGGTCTTCAAGTTTGCTTTAAATGTTTTCATTTAGAAAAACTTCTTTTTGATAAAGTAACATTTTGGGTTAACAGATTTTTAATAATTAAAAAAATGTATAAAAGATAGCGGTCAAATGAACACGAACCGATCTTTAAAAAAGCCGAAAATATTCATAAAAATATCAAGATGGTTTATGTTCATTTTTTGAGAAAAAGAAGAAAGAGTTACTGATTACACAAAGAATCATCACATAAAATAGTGCATTTCTCTAAATTTTCTAAAAGAAAAGTAATGAGTGGCTACCTCTTTACATTTTAAGTTAATTTTAAACACTGCAGGATTTTCGTAAATTAAATAAATTAATTTGTTTAAAATTAAAAGGACAATTGTTTATTATTATAAAAAATATGTTTGATTCATATCTAAAACTTAGAACATACCACTTTTTTTTTATAAGAAACTACTTTCTTAATATTAAATACGTATTCACCTCAAGTTTTTTTCTTTAGTAAGGGAGAGTGAAAAATTTTCAACTTAATACTATTTGCGTTGAGAATTATTTGAAGAAGTTATTGTAGATGCTTTTGTGCTATTTATTGTAGGCTTCTCAAAATGTTGGGTAAGCGTAGCTACAGCTACCGTTGAAGGTTTTTGTACAGGCCGAGCGACTGTTGAATTTGTTGTTACTATAGATGCCACTGCGGGTTTTTTGATGTTATTACTATTAAAAGAGGGCTTAGCTGACAGAGGTTTTGGTTTCTGTATCGTTGCGGCTGGTTTGCTTGTCAAACCTTTTCCTATCGTAGTCGACGTTGCTGCGGCATTTTGGCTGCCAGGCAGTGTCGCTTTTTGCGTAAAATTATATGGTTTGTTGAAGTTTTTTACACGATTTGAGCTGCCGGTCCGATTGCTACTACGTTTCTGTTGCTCTTGATTAGATTGATTGGATTTAACATTGTTTTGGTTATGTATTCCTGGTGGAGCTACCAGTGTGTTGGACGATGACGGTTTAAAACTAGAAAATGCAGTAGAGGGGGATAAATCTGATTTGGTGGGAGCTATTCGAGCTATTGGAGCGTTTACTGCTGTTGGTCTTAAGTAGGATGTGGCCGGTGGCTGTGCTGCATTAACATTCACGCTCGCGGCTTGCTTTTGCTGCTGTTTTTCTTTGGTGTTTTCAAATTCATCGTCTAAGTTTTTAGTGCTCACAAGAGTCGAGGCAGAATATATGGAATCACCACCGTTACGTTTCTCAATCTCATTGACTATTTCACTTAACAAACCCAAATCACTGCTGCTGGTTATACTGCTGCATACACTGCCACCGATCAAATCGCTACGCTTAAGTGTTTGTGCCGCCGGCGGTATTTCATCTATAACCGCATAAATATTATCAGAATCTAGACTTTTTAAATGCAGTGTATTACCTGCCAATTTTAAGGGGTCTTTCATTACTTCACAATCGTCGTAAGCATGTTCTTCAGCAGGGCGTTGATTGCTGGCTACCGGCAGTTGATAACCGGACGAGGTGGTTGAACTGGTCTTTTTAAGGGGGGGTGGACGGGGTGGTGGACTTTTTGGTCTAACTGTTAAAGAGTTTAGCGAAGCTTGTGAGGATACGGCACTTTTTGGTCGTCCTGCACTGGGTTGCCGCATGGAACCAAAAGTTTGTAAGGCTTTCTTATTAGGAGATCTCATGGATTGAGCCCGTTTAACCAAGTTTTTGGTTTCTTGTTCTTTTGGTGTTAAAGTAGCTTCAGAGTCTGAATTGGATGATTCGCCATGGGGTGGAATTTTATTTGAAACTGGTATAGGTGCTGATATCTCCAAATTTCTTAACTTTTCGCGATTAATGTAAGCCTTCTCTTTAACAACTACCTTATCGTCTTTTTTAAGAAACGATGCTATGCGCCTGATGGTGCCATCACGACGTATATTCAGTTTGGGATCGGCGTGCAATGGTACTGGTGGCGGTGGTGCTGGCTTTAAACTACCTGAAGATTGTGCAGGAACTTGAGGCTGCGGTGGTGTTGTGGGCGCTGGACGATTAGGTTGCAAATCGTTCGCGATATTCACAGATTTTAAGGGTAAATTTAAAGTGGAATTTTCTAACACCGGCATCGAGATAATCGGTCTTGTATTTGGTCTCGGATTAGGAGGCGGCAAGGCAGGAGCCACCCCTCCTATTTGTGAAGCTGCCAATGCAGGAGTTTTATTTGACAAGGTACCACTCGATTTAGAATCGTTTTGCTTAGCTGGCTGTAGCGGTGCTGCTCTTTGTGGTATCCCTAAAACACTGTTATCTTGAAGAGTCGGTTGAACATAGGCCACATTAGAACCATTAAAATTACCACTTAGCGTTGCTGCATCATTTAATGGCCTCAGAGTAAAGCCTTTAAATTTACCGAACATACCATTTCCTAAAGCGTCACTGGAATCACTCGGCGATTTTAACAAAGCCGAATTCATGTCATCCGTACTGCTGGGTGTAGATTTTGGTAAGGCGTTAGCAATTTGATGACTGCTACTAACGTTAGGATTAGTACGGCTGGGAGCTTGTCTATTACTGGCTGTCTTAATACTGAAAATTAAAGTGATGTAAAAACATGCAATTAATGAAATAAATAAAATTATTTTTTAAAAATTAACAAACACGTTATGTTGCTTTGGACTAAATATTATGCATCATTTTAACATATCCTCATGCGCAGGACTTCTTTCATTATCTGCACAATAACAACCAACTTTAAATGAAAGTGACAACAATCTTTAAAATATCATAAAGCTATGAAAATAAAGAAGTTATTACTAATAGTGTTTCAAAGGAAATAAAAAATATTAAAAATTTTTTGAAAATTACTACTGTGTCAGATTGCATATCCCAAAAACAGTTATTTGCAAAGTGAAGACAACGTTTAATTTAAAAAATACTTTTTCAATAAAGATTATCATACAAAACTGTTAAATACTTAATACAAAGTAAGCGAAATAAAGTGAGCAGGAAAATGACATTACAAAGTATTATACAACACTACATAAACCAACAAATGAAATTAAAATAAAAAAATTATTTATATAATGAACATAAGAAGCACATATTAGGGTGTAATATTAGGGTTTTTTTGAAATATATTAAAAAACAATATTTTTGAGAAATTTATTATCATTACAAAATCATGCTTAAACTATGTGAAAAATCTTGTCTGAAAAATCTTGTTATAGGAAGTTACTGAACAAAATCGCTTTCGCTGCGTATTTCGATATTTTTACTTTTCATCGATCAATTTGATTGGATCAGAAGAAAGTGCGACGATAACGAAGTTAAGTTTTATGCTAATATTGGTTAATCGTTAGCTTTGTAAAGACATTTGGTTTTGACGGCGAGAAACGAAAGTTTGCATAAAAAAGTACACGATTTTTAAGATTTTCAGTTAATTCGATTTCATAAAGGAATGTTTGCATTTTATATATTGAAATGTTAATGTTCTGCATAATGTATATAAAAGACGATTTTGTTCAATAATTTCTTTCATATTGTTCTTTTAGATTTTCGTATTATATTCTCTCATGATTTTCTGATTTTCTTGTAATTGAAGTGAACTCATGATGAACGCACCTATTTGTGTCGTCGCTTATAATATATGTAGTACCATCAATCAAAGCGTTTGGATTAGTGGTCGAATTTAAGCGGATATCAGTGATTTCTAGTTTACGTTTTAACATATTATTGCAGTTGTTGCTATTATTTTTACTATTACCGTTATTATTGTTGTTTGTGATTGTGTTATTGTGTTTGTTTGGCGTTAAATTTTGAGAATTAAATCTAAAACCACTTTGAGTGTTATCACTGCTGTTGTTGTGTTTATTGGGAGACAATAAAAATGTACAGTTAAGATTTGGTGTAGTTGACATGCACTTTGTGATGTTTGTTTTTTTATTTGTTGTTGATGTAGATTTTGTCGGCATATTAATTTCATAGTTACTTTTTGATAAAGATAAATTCAACTTTATTTTATGATTTAAAGGGAAGCGATCAGCCGAACTTAGGCTGCTAGTGTTAGCAGTTGAAATAAAATTTGTATTTGCATCGATTGCAATTAAATTATCGTTAGATACTGTATGTTGAGTATGACGTGCAGTTAATGCAATTGGTGCTGGCGTGGTAGAGGTAGTAACATAAGAGGCAGTGACAGTATTGGCAGGCATACAGATAGCAGTAGTAGAAATACACAGAGTTGATGGGGTGCTTGTTACGGTGGTTGTTGCAATTAATTTATGGCGTTCAACGGCAACACTAGTTTTAGGACTAAGAGGTGAGGAGGTACCCGAAGAAGAATAATGAGCGGTTATGGAGGAGGAAGAGGAAGAACTGGGAATATGGTCAGCGCAAAAATTATGAGTTACACTGGTTGTAGTGTGGGAAAAATTGGAGCTAGTGCTAAATGATAGGACATTTTTAGGATCTGATGATACATACATATTCTCGGCTAATTTGCCCCCTATAAACAATGTATGGTTGCGGCAATAGTACATAATAAAACAGAAGGCAGCAAGAAAAGGTATAACAGCAAAGAAGAAAATGTACATAAAACGCTGGAAGGCTTCGTGACCTAAGGAATATCAAATAAGAAATATCACATATTACTTTCCGTGTATAATAAGCCGACTTACTATTTGGATTAGTTGCAGGTCCACTGTCCACAGATCCTCCATGACCCGGCATCATGCAGGTTAAACCCGTAAAACCCACGTTACAATGGCAATTACCTAAAGAGCAATGAAAACAGATAATTTTTATACTAATAATTAATCAAAGAGAGATAAGTTGTAATATTAATGCCAAAATAAAAGAGACTTTTTTCTTCTCTGGGAAGTATTTTATATTTGCCTTTGCTTTTATACAATCTACTGAGATATTTCATCAGAAACGGCAATGGTACATAGTAGGAAAAACAATGCAAACAGGCCCGTCAACGGAGGTTGTTGTTGTGTATACACATCATAATGTATATACGTCACCATTATCATTAGTGAATGTAACCATACTGGTCAACAAAAGTCTAGTTGACGTACACAAAAGCCTACACAATCTACAATGCCTACAGAATGGAAAGAGAATGGGGTTGCTTTCACTAAATGGCAACGCATTGTCCTTTTTTAAGCTTCTGTAATCTCTGTTAAATATGAAAATCAGATTGTATAGAGGAAATCTGAAGAAGAAAATAAAAAATACACTGACAAAAAAAAAGAAAGAAACTGAACAAATGATTTACATAAAAAAAAATTAAAATGAATACATAAAAAAAAAAAATCCAATATACTTTCCACAGAATAGCAAAAAATAAAGTAAACTACCTCGGCTGTTGCATACTCCGTTCGCATTGCAGTTTTGGGGACAGGATTTTCCCATACCAGTGGAGCGTAGGTACTCGATGGTTAAACATTTCTGATCTACACACATTTTTTGGTCACCACATTTGGCTCCATTCGGAGCTAAACCAGGATCAGTGCTTTGTAAGCCTAAGTCTACTAAAGCCGTTCGGCACGGCACTATATTACTGTCGTGAGTTATAAACGAATGAGACAATACAGCAGCAGACTCCATACCAAATTCCAGGCGCTCATTTAAATGGCGACAATGCAACATGCCGCATGCTACATGTTCCTTTTCGCAAGGTATATAAGTGTTATTTAAACGATTGAAACCGCAATTACCGCCACGTTTGCCTTCAGTATTCATTTGCAGATAGCAAGGCTCCGAATTTTCTCCGGTTGGACCCCAAAGTATACGACATTGATGTGAGTGCGAACGACAATTGCCTTCATAACAGTATGCTTGCCCGTTATCGCATTCTTCAGTGTCACGTTTGAATACATCTATTGGACAATATTCCGATTCGCCAGTGCAATATTCCGGCAAATCACATTCATTGTCCGCATTACGACAGAGAGTACTAGCTATTTTTGGTCGACATGTGGTCAAATCACAGCACTCCCCTGTCGCACAAGAGGCATTGCCATGCAACATGCATTTATGGGGATCACAACAGGTATTTTCACAATAAGCAGGTAAGCCGCAGTCACATTGTTCGCCTGGCTCTACGAAACCGTTACCACATTGTGGTGAATCGAATAGTTTGTGAGGTTTATTCCGCAGACAATAATTCATGCCACGCGAAAAAGCAATATTTAGTTGATCAATGCTGCAAGAACTCCAATGAACGGGAACAACCGAGGTGCTGCTGGCCGACATAATGCACTTTTCATCTTGGCACTTACAATCAGGTGAATCATGTTCCATGCCAAAATTATGGCCTAATTCATGTGCCATAGTTGTAGCAACTACGGCTACTATTTGACTGTGTTCCATAGATACGCTACCGGAATATTCGTGAGTACATATGGGTCCTTTAAGAGCTTTTCCTATCAAAGTAAACAAATAAATTTTCAACAAATCTTATTTAATTGTTTGATAGATAGATATAAGGAGACTTACCCACCACACCCTTTTCGAATTTCACCTTTGTGAGAAGTTGCGCGTTGTCGTTAGCATGCTCCAATACTAATTTCGTGCGTCGATAGATAAGAAAATTTCTTAAAGTAACATCGGCATCTGGCGTAATTTCAATTTCGTTCGACTCATTCCATATTACCACACCCACCAAAGCGATAAATATATTTAAAGGGACATACAACTAAAAGGGAAATGGATATGCTCTCACTTTTGTCCACACCTCTCAAATAAATAAACGCCGACATACCGCATTTATTATGTTAGCCAAATCTTTACAATGTTGATGCACTTTCTTCATATTTTCACCGAAGGACTTATAAGCTTTATTATCAACAACAATAACCAGCTCAACATACGAGGAGTGTTTATTGGAATTAAATGGGCCACGTATTACATGGCTGTCATCATAGGAACGTTTGTACTGAAATTATATAAATGTTTATAAAGTTCATATGAAGGAAGCAATTAAAATCTACACTTAATAGAAAAAACTTACTCTCAGTATGCGATTAAATTCTGGGCCATCAATTCGATTTAGTGTCATTGCATCAACGTTACCAGCAGCGTTCTTTAGAAATGCCTGCTTTTCATCATAATGATCGTGATCGTAACCACACGAAGTATTTTTATTTAACAAATCGCTTTGACTGAAACATTTTTCCAAATTGTTAATACATATATGAAACTTTCTAGCAAGCAAAAATTACGTTTTTTTTTTTTTTTGGATATATTTGCATTCCAAATTAAAATTTAAAATAAATATTTGAGGTTGCTTGCTGTTTTCATCCACTCTAAGTCACAAAGCAACCTTATCTGGATTGAGGAAGTAATAGAAATTCATAGAGCCCAAGAATATGTTTGATTAATTTTATGGGTTTGTAATGAACTTTAAATATATGTAAATTTTATATAATCATAACGAACGTACACAAGTCTGCATATTAAGGTAAAAAAATGCGCTATAGTTTGAAAAATCCCTCCTGGATATTAAAACATGACAAGAAGAAATGTTTACTGGCTTAGTTGTTTTAATAATGTTAAAAAATTTAATTGACACTACTTTTTTTTAACTGTGTTACCTTACTTGAAAAGAGATTTTGGGTTTTTCAAAAGCACTTGAAAACGATTGCAGAACAAAAGCTAGCAAGCGTTATTTTTTGCCTTTGGTGGTAATCATACTCAGGTACGTTATATGGTTTCAATGCAATAATACACACACAGGGATTCAGTGATCATGGTTAGAAACTTAATATACCAGTTGCGGCCGTTTTACCGAAAGATGTTCCAATTATGAAAATTTAAAAACGCCCTAATTACGATTAGAGGTAGAGATATTACTGCACCTAAAGCAATGGTCTCAAGGAAAAAACTGTTATACTTCCGCTCATCCATTAGCTTAACGTGGTGCATGTAGAGTTCACTAACCGGGGAACTGCAAGCAGAGGTAAAGCAAGCTATTGTAGTTTTTTACTTAGTTGCGCAAGCTGTGCTTTTTGCTTGGCCTTGAACTATCCGCTTTCATAACCATTGTCAGAAGGTAAACGTATCTCATGCAGTTATAATACTGAAAAGATATGTATTTATTGTCTGTGTCTGCTTACACTCTAAGAGAAAGGCTTTAAACATATAGTTTAGAAGAGGCAAGTTTAGTCAAAATAAAGATATGTTAAAAATAAAATAGCTAACAAATTTGTATAATTTTCAGTGTTCAGCGCCAACCGCTTTCTATTGGAAGCATGCATCAAGTTTAATTTTTTTAGTGTAATAAGTGAAGTGCAGAGGAGTAGGTGTAACTCTATTTTGTTGACATTTCGCCAGGTTGGAAGTAATTGGCACAGAATAGCATTATTCCATACGATCTCGTGTCGCGTCTTGAAAACCCATTGAATGAAATGAATACATACTACCAATATATAAATTTTTAACGAAAAAATTTTCGTCAAGATACGTTATAAAAATAAACAAACGCTCTTAGATAAAATGCTAACCCACGCGTCCCGAGCTAGCGATTGTAACTGCTAATTCTCTCTTAACGATTGTAAGAAATTTATATGTCAGTTCGATCAATAAAAACAAAAATCGTTGTCATATTTATACTTAGAAGGAAAATTTGTATGAAAACTTACCGAAATAATAAATGTTGATCGTGTAACTGTCCATCATTGCCCGAGTGTATGAAATACGTGTCAATGCCATCGAAAACGATTCCATTTATGCCACCATTACATGTAGAGACGGCAACGTAACTTTGGGGTTTATCGCGTATGGAGCCCTTTTTCATTTGAATGCCAACAACAATTGCAATGGTCGTCATAACGTTGCATAAAACGCAGAATAACGGAAAGGATGTAAAGAGGCATGAAAACATGGATAAAAAAAGAGAAAACAAACAAAAGAAGACCGAATATGTAACAGCTACCTGATAGTGACATAATGCAATTTCAGTCTTTGTAAAGTTTTTCACAACGACAACGTTACGACCTTGCGTGGAATTTGAGTTTTGATAACGTAAAAAATGCTTATCGGGCAGTAAATTATCGTTGCGTTTCAGGTCCATCAGTATGTGTTGACCTTGATGATTATATGTTAATACTATATGAGGCAAATGCTGGCCATCCTGTAGAGGGGTTAAGAAAAATGAAAAAAATAATGAAGAAGTGTTATCAACATTCGGTTATGGTATGGTATAATAACGGGACAGAAGTGGTGTTGTTGTAGATTAATGTAAGACAATATTTAGTATGGTGAATTTTATAAGCGTGATTGTAATCGTTTTTAAAGTCCAAGATACCAAGTAATTAAAGATATTTCAGTCAATCGGACAAATTTTATTCTACAGCCTACTGCTGCAAACTTTGCGAAAAATGAGAAGAAAAAACATTTTCTTATTGACCTTTATAATTTCCGTTCTCCTGGCTAACATATTTCAATTTTATGCTGGAGTTGTTCTTTAACTTGGGCGGTTTCAAAGTACTAATTGCATTTGTGATAGCAAAATTGCTGGTTATTGATGACCCTTCGAGGTAAACGAATATGTTGTACGAATAAGAGGTATTATATACAACATGATAAATTGGACTAATATATTTCGCATAAGTAATATATTTAGTAAATAAAAACGTCTATTATTTTGGTTCCAAATTGTTGTTAAAATATTTTATCCCTCACTTTAAATCGAAAGATGGCTATTTTTAGTAAATATATAGGCACGTTACCGATTATGTGAGGGCAAACCAAAGCTTTTTTATCTTTTCTCTAAAGATATATTTGTTATTAAGTCATTTGGAAACCCCTTAGAAGTATATATCGGTGATCTCCCTATTGTTTTGGCAACGTCTTTCATTTGAATAATCTAGTGAATAGAGAGAATTGTCTAAGAATTTAGTTTAGATTTCTATAAGAACATGAGGTCTTTATTACTTTGATTCATTGACTATCACAGATACCGGAGGTGTGGATTTAAGTTGATATCGTTCGTTTAATCTCTTCCCAAAGCTCACGATTTGTTTCTTTTTCATTTTCTCGTAAAGCTTTTTAAATGTTTTTCTGAAGAATTTCGAAGGAAAATAATTCATGAGTAAATTTTAGCACTTTTTTAAGAATTTATTTAATAACCTTTCTCTTTAATTAAATCGGCTCAGAATTTATTAATGAACCTAATAAATGAAACGATTAGAAGTCGTTTTCCGTACAATACGATCAAGAAGCACTAAAACTGTCGCATCTAAATCGTACTGGGTTATTCAAAAGCGAAATATTTTTTTTTAACTGGCACCAAATTAATTGACAAATTTTAAATTAATATCCTCGGTACTCTCATATAAAATGGTCTAATTTTTAAATTAATCATTCCTGAACGATGTGTTTTGAAACTCTGGCGAAAATGGATCAAAGCATCCAGGGATTCGGGCTGCAAATGATCTTTCAGAGTCTTTTGTATCGACCTAAACAATGTTCGCGTAAGCTAATATTCTTCGATAGATGATGAAGAATGGCAGCAACATTAATCGTCTTCAGTGTTTTCTCCGTTTTTTTGCAGCCGTTTGATTTTTTGCACATATTTTAAAAACAAAAGATACGTCTTTTTAGATGAAAGCAAGTAATCGTAGCGAAGAGATTTTTCCATGAAAGAAAAAAAGTTTGGTTAAGTCCGTGGTATTTAATAGAAAAGCTTTGGTACATTTTTATCATAACAGTATCTTATTAAAAATAAGCGCGGCACGGCCCGCAGTTATTTAGGCATTGACTTTTCCAAATAAAGCATTATATGGGTAGTGGTCGAAAAAGTTGACCGATCAATAGCGTTGGTCTTTTGGTCAAAACATGTCAACGATTCAATTTTCATCAAGATACCTCCTGTCTGTAGGCTGAATAAAGGAAAACAAGACAGGCGAAAATTTAGAATTTGAAAATAATTCTGAATTGATGGATATAATAAAACGTGAGTCTATCTTAAGTCCTTCTGGGTATCTCATACATTTGCACAACCTTAATATGCTCTTGTAACACAAGCGTGGGGTATAAGAATTACGATTATTGTTCCATTCAAATACAAGTTTTGTGTTTAAAATTAGGCCTCAGTCTTAACGAATTAGTAGTAGTAGTTGATTATAATGAAAAACAGAAGTTTTCATCACATTTTGCTTTGCGCTACTTACCGCATCTAGTGTACTATGAATGGATCTTTTATGTTTAGGGTGATGTATTTGCGGTTTTATCACAGAGTGCTTTAAAAAATCATCAAGAGCGGGAAAAAAGTAATTAGCACCCGTATCGATACTATAATGGTGATGTGTTGCAGACGTTGATGCTGCGTTACCTAAAATGATAAACAAAGCATAAGGTACGTGAGTGTCATACATGTACATATATATGAAGACTATATAACACACACCATACACTAAGTGCATAAGTGCATGTTTTTTAATACAATTATTATAGTTAAGTTTCTTTGTAACTAAGCAAAAATGTTGCTACGAAAACAAGTGGTAAATGTATTAAGATTTCGCAAAAAAGTAAATCAATTAACACTTCAAATTTATTTAAGATGGCTATGGCTAAATAAATTAAAATATGTGTTGGCTAAATCCCAACCAACGTGTCACACGCACATTGGATTAACTGATTTCAGTAATCGTCTTCATAGCAATTCGTCAAGAACAACACAAGCAATGTTATCAAAACTAGTTGTGACTAGAGATTACCAGAGCTGAAAGCAATGCTGCGAAAAATCATAGCCTTTATTCTGAAGTAAATCGCTTTTTTATAATTACCACCGAAGCAGCAGCTGTGGATGAACATTTGGCCTCAGGATGTTTTATTTATTAAAAAAGCCAACAAAACGTAAAATACCATATTTTAACAATCTTCCGTATCGGGTAGACGTGGCGGATTTTTTCGATTTTCTTGCGTATATTGTAGGAACCCCCATAAAACGCTTGTAAAAATTTTGATTGTTTTAGTTTTTGTGTAACGGACGAACAACCGAGTTTTTGCTTTAACTAATTTCTGATTGCTGATTTCAAATCCGAACCTCCCTGCACAAACATCCAATCTTTTAGATAAAATTGAAGCTGCATCCGACGATGGGACAAGCATGTTCAAATCGAATCAGAATTTGTTACAAATAAAATGTTTGTATGCTTTATAAGTTCTCTGAGGTGTCTTTCTGAGCATTACAAACATCCCATGAACATGAAATCCACTTAAACCATCAACAAATGGTTGTTTTCGAGGGAGAACAGTTGCATTAACACTTTCTAAGCCAACGCTGAGTTTAAATCGTATCTTTCCCATTAAAAAGCAACTAAAAACAATTTTTAAATAAATAGACCAACTTCGTATTTTTCCATCGTCTTCAATTAATATATGTTTCTTGTGCAATATGTCAGTCCCGACACTGATTGTACGGTTATTGTCCTGAAATATTGTATGAACTTTGATAACATAATAAAAACAAATCTCGAATGCTAAAACATGTAGCGCGTGAAACTAAAAATAAATAAATCCAATAGAAAATGTAAAAAATCACATCGCGACCTACAAAATTAAAAATTAAATCGATATAAATAGTGCTTGTGTTGATGTAATGGCAATGAACGCATAGTAACATAAGAATAAAATTTAGATGATGTAAAAGTCATGCTAAAGAACAAACAAATTTTTCCAATAATTCTTTTCTCAAGAGGTGCTAATCTACTACAATCACACTGAAATACATAAATAAAGTACATATGAACAAACGCTTCAACTAAATAATTTTTTGCCTCCCACTGCTATATATTATACTTCACATTGAAAATTACAAGGATCTCAATTATCGGACACTATCGCTATCTATAGCGCACTTGGTAAAGAACACCATAAAAGGATAGGATATAGACTAACTTCTCTTCAGTTTCAAATCATAATTTGTGTTCAAAAGAAAAAAAAAACATGATTTTATTAATTTATTTTATTTATTTAGTTTTCAAGAGTTTTCTACCAGATCAAATAAACATGTGAAAATCGGACTTTTTTTTATTTGTTGAAGTTTCAGTCAATAAATTCTCTTCAACTTCGAATGTTATGAGCATAATGACAAACTTCATATAACACTTCATGATGACGGTTTTCGTAATTCTACAAATAGTTTTTGTTATAATTTTTTTTTAATCCTACAGTAATAATATTAAGCGGAAATAGCACGTTACGTTCCAAGTTATTCATAGTAACATTAACCGGATGGAATAACTTGAAAGACAATTTCAAAGCTAATATCAATAAGTGACAACAACTCATGCTAGCTCCATCGGTTACCAGATATATAATTTGAGACCTTATATCTTTCATTACAAGGTAAGTACTGCGACTATGATCGACATCATGAGCATTAACTACGACTTCTTGCTTCACTTTGTATATTGATGCCTACATTTTAATGACACTTTACTTTTTTTTTAATTTTATTGATTTTTTACGTAAACTAACCGTTAAATATTTTAAGAACTCCTCAACTCGCATAAGAACATTAAATAAACACGCCAATAAAGTTATTTACAAATACATACGGACGCATGCATTTGTTTAAGTAATATTTGTGAAAGCAAATACAAAATATTTTATATATATCAAAGTTCAAGGTGGTTTTTCCCAAAGCAAAAGTCTTGAAATTAGATGTTAAAAAAGTGAATAAAAATAAGTAAGAAAATTATATTCGGCTTTAGCCGAATCTTCTTTCGCCCTAAAATATAATACGTAAGTTTTTATTGCTCTAGTTTATGAACAATGACAAAAAACGTCTTTATTTTAATTTTGAAGACGAAGGCGTACTTCTTATTGATTGCAAAACTACATAACTACTATTATTTTTCAATTTTGTATCATATGAGCGTTTAATCTTAATATCTTTTTGCAGACGCCAGTTGAGCGAAAAACGTTTTGCAGGCTTTAGGGAGATTTAACCATGATCTGTATGTGTGCCATAGGTCGTCCGTTCGGATTTGAAAAGATGGAATTGGAAAATAGGACAGCTAAAAATTCCTAAACACCATATATTTTTTTGTTGTTGTTTTCATTTAAATCCTCTTACTTCTATTTACTGGACGTAAGTGTTAAAAATATTTGTATGAAACCAACCTGTCAACGAATGTTTTGTGGTTGTTATCATATGTCATGTACGTACAAAACTTAACGTTTTTTAACCACCATATTAAAGAGGATTCCAAATTCACTTAAATCTTATTACTATTATTATTAATTTCGCCAGAGAAATAAATTCTAAGACTAAACTCTTAAAAGCACTAGCATCTAAGGCTATCGGCTTTTTATTAAAAACTCTACCGCACTTGAGATTCGAACCCACGACCATTGACTTGCTAGTCGAGATTCCTCCCCTTCGGCTACTCAGGCGGATAAGACTCACTTAAATCTTACTTGGAACTTTACGCTTGCGACTGTCACATTGTAAACCTATAATTCCTTACTCGCAACTGAAGTCAAAGGTGAAAATTTAAATGAATAATAATTTTGGAGAAATTGTTTATTTTGTTTTCTTCATAAAGAGAAATATGATATTTATAAACAAACATATACATCAAAAGATGTCTTCTTCTATACGTTCATACAAGCTTTACATATAAGGCGCAAATGTAACGTACGTTATTTCTGAGTAAAAGTCGGTGACCTTAGTCTCAGCCTTAGTAGAACTTATGCGAGCATACATTCATACGGTGCTAACAAATTTGATTGTATGCAACTTAAATTTGGCTTTCTTGTTAACTTATGAATAATTCAACTAATGTTATTATAGGCCTTTTCCCTTCGTTTCTTTTTTATTGCTGGACTTATAAGATGAACGATTGCATTATAACATACGCTCTTGCTAATAAGTCTTGCTAACAGGACGTATTTTTCACAATACATCAAGCAACGGACATATTTACGTGTTCGTATGTACTCTTTAACGCGGCCCTTCTTCGAAGGCCCATGAAGATACTGCCTTTGGAAAGCATTGGAAAACTCTTATCAAATTATTATGAAACGTCGATGCCTCTGCACATTTGATAATCTTCTCTTTTGGAATTCTTCTTTTACTGTTTTATCTACTTAAAATAAGTGCAAGCTTTTTGCGTTTTCAATATTTTCGTAAAGTGTGCCTTTTGCAGATATTAGTCGAGCGTTGTACTTTTGTTTTTTTTATTGTATTCCAATTTACTTACAACAGAAGTCGGCAAATTTTTAAAGCTCGGCATATATTAGTAGTATTTTTACTGTTCTTTGGTGTGAGCGATTTTGCCCATATTCGATACCAATTTGCGTGCAAGAATTTCCAATGCTTTTGCCAAAGTCGATATGTAGATTTTTGCGACATGTGCATGTTCATCACAAACACTACGCACTCGCATATGCTTCAGCCAATTGAGAATTTGATATCGATCAATAATATGCATTTGAAACGTGTCGACAAAATCAATATGACCTCTAGCTTCCGTTGATGTCTAGGAGGACAATTTGCCTGACGTCTGGAGAAAGGATTATTTTTAAATCGATTTATTTGAAGTGTCGGTGGTATCACCTCACTTTTTTATAGCATATAAATTTTCTCTTCTCCTTGTGGTGAGAAGTCTCTTAAAATGATGTTACTCGTTTTGTTCTTTTAAATCGAAGTTTTTAAAAGTAAAAGGTGAAAAAATTTATTTTCCCTGTAAATTTACGTATTTTTTCGAATTATATGTTTTTGTATGTATATATGTATATTATATGTATGGTAATTGCTTATTCAAAGTCTATAGAAATAATCGCCTTTTGCTTTTTGTATAATAAAAGGTTATTAAACCCTTTTAAGTGACGTTTGCGGCTTTTTAAGGAATGCCACGTTTATTACGACTTTGGTGCTTTTACTTCACAATTAAGTAATTCCCTGCTTATGGTTTCATTATTATTGGAAAACGACGAAAGCGAAGCCTTATTTTGGTCACCCTGCACTTTTATAATGTCAAAATTAATATAAAACTGATTGAACTCCATTTTTTGCTCCATTTTAAAACTCCTTTTATAAATTCCACGACAGATCGGCATCTGATGCTGATCACAAAAAAAATAAATAAATAAATAACAAGATTTCTACTATGTGTTTGGGGCAGTTGCAACAGGGATGATAAATTTAGTATATTTTGTGATTATGCGTATCACAAAGGAAATTCTAATGTAATGCGTTCTTTGCGATTGTGCATTAAGTTACATTATTATCTAATAAAAGTTACTCAAGGATTTGAAAAAATTCGCATAACAAATTAAATATCATAAGTAAAAGAAAAATAAAGGTAATTTTTCAAATTT